CCGAGAGAGCTTTAACCAATGGAGCCTCCCATGGCCTGGCCCCTGCCTCTCTCCCCAGCTTCCTTTCCTGACACCTCACATTTCATGCTGTCACTATGTCATGCCTCCTCGCCTTTGCTCCTGTCTTTCCCTCTGCTGGGACATCTTCTCCATCTTTCTTTGTCTGGATGAAACAGACACACCCAGCTCAGGAAGCCTTCCCAAGTGTGCCTGTCACCTCTCCTATCAGTCAGATGTTCACTGCTTACCTGTGTGTCTCCCACGCTAGCCTCTAAGCTCCTTGCGCGGGGACCAGGTCTTCTCCATCTGTACCCCAGTGTCTGTTACAATGCCTGGTACATAATAGGTGTTTGGTGAAAGAAAACATGTTTGTTGGAAGAAACTCGGAAAGGTAAACAGAAAAATGGGTTTTCATTTCTGCAGAAGTGAGAGCAGAAAGTGAGGAACAGAGTTACCCTGTGGGTAGATACCCAGAGAGGATTCTGGTCCCAGAAAAAGAGTGCTTGCAACGTACCGTAGTAAACCTCAGAGGGGCATTCTAAAGAGTGATGCAGGATGGATGGAATTAGATCCTCTTTTTCTCTCGCCATCACACCCTGTTTCTCTCTTCCCGAAACATCTCTGCCTCCCATTCTGCCAGTGCCATTGTATTAGGGGTTGGCACTGTTGGGTGACTTAGATTTAAAGTTCTCATTCCCTGTGGTCCATGTCCCTCATGACGTGTATGAATGGTGCCAGCTAATGAGGGACTAAGGAGGTTGCTGGGAAGTGGGTGGGTCAGGACTGAATCCAGAGAGCCTAAGTCTATCTGAGCAAGTCGGAAAGGGCTCCAAAGAGGAGGTGGCATTTGGACTGAGACTTGAAAGATAATTAGGAGTTTAACAAGAGGATGGGGAGCCCAATGTGTTCGAGGAACTGCAGGGACTGTGGACAATAGGTTAAATTTCTCATCTTAAGTGAGGGCAAGGTGTGGGGCGCCTGGGTGGCTCAGTCGGTTAAGCATCTGCCTTCGGCTCAGGTCTTGATCTCGGGGCCCTGGGATCGAGCCCCACATCGGGCTCCCTGCTCAGCGGGGAGTCTGCTTCTTCCTCTCTACCTCCCCCTTCCCCCACCCACCACTCATTCTCTCTCACTCACTCTTTCTCTCTCAAATAAATAAAGTCTTTAAAAATAAAAAAAGTGAGGGCAAGATGACTGTCCAGAGAAACAAGGGGGATGATGGGGGGATGTGCAGTGTGCCTTGGACGTTTAACAGACTCTTCACTTTGTACATTTAATAGATCCTGAGAGTATGCTTTGCAGAATTATACATATACTTTAAATTGTCATGCTTACTAGAGAACCTTCTGTGCAGCCACCATTAACAAGAAGCAAAGTGGTTAAGTATATAGACCCTGGAGTCAGATTGTCTGGGTTTAATTCCCAGATCTGCCTCTGCCAGCTCTGTTACCTTGGGCAAGTTACTCGACACCTCCATGCCTGGTTGCATGATCTGTAAAATGAGAACAATAGTACCTCTCTCAGCAAGTCCTAGGGATAAGATAAGTGAGTTAATACACGAAAAGCCCTCAGAAGAGTGCCCCACGTGCAGCAAACACTCACTGCCAGGCACTAGTATGATTTCATTTCTCATGAGGTTGTTTGCAATCACCAGCTGTGCACTTAGTGCATGATCCCATGGTAATAATTACATGATTTTGGGTGTTCATTTGGTGTTGTTTCCCACTGGACCGTGAATTCCTCAAAGGCATTAGTTGAATAAATGTCTCTTTCCAAAGTAATTGAATTCATGCTTTCAAGCATATTTCCTACTTACTACATTTTTGTGTTGGTAATCCAAGGGGAGAACTTTTCTTAGGATTGTGAGGGGGAAATAAGATTAGCTAGAAACTCCTCCGTGAGGCTGGAAAGTCCTTGCACACAGAAGCATTGTCTTCTGTGTAAACCCATGCCAGCCCCTTGAGACTGTTGGTGGAAAACTTGCTTCATGGAGGTTTTGTCCTGCTCAAAAGGGTTTAAAGAGCCCGGAGAAGTAAGAAATATCCGAACCCTCAAAATTGTCCGTTTGGCTGGACATTTTTTAGCAGAGCCTTGTTACGAAACTTTTAGCAAAGAAACTTCTTTCAAAGGGCTCTAACTCCTGAGAGGTGGGAAAAGAAAGTTGAGTGGAGTTTAGACATCCTATGTACCCAGAGAAGCTGGCCCAGTGCTCCTTGTCTGCTTGTTTTGGTTGCCTTGGAGGAGAAAGGGCACAGAGGAGCTTTTCTGCTGAGACCATGGAATGAAAGTTAGAGTTGCCTTAGGTGATTGGCTCTGAGTCTGCAGGACCCAGAGGGCTCTGCAAAGGCTGGACCATAGCCCACAGAGGACAGACCCAGGTGTGTGTGTAACATAGGGATGGAGGTGGGGGTGGGGCTTCTGACCCCCTAGGAAGGCTGTCAGATGAGTCAACTGGAAGACAGAGATCTGAATTGTGATTCTGTCCCTTTGCGTCTGCATGACCTTCCTCTGGCCTGGTTTTCCTTTTTTGCCATTGGACGGTTTGACGTGGATTGTGTCTAAAGTTCTGTTTCTAGTGTTCAGATTCTGGCTCTGCCTCAGCACTGTTGGGCACAGTTTGGGTTGAGAAAGGCAGCATTTCTATCCAAGCTCCCCACGTCACCCGTCAGCACCAGGACCCTTATCTCCAAACTGCTCTGTGCAACCCTGACCTGGCCCGGGCCCACTGCCACGGCAGCCTCCCTGCTGCACAGTGGGGCACTCCTCTCTGTAGCCAGCGAGCTCCCAGAAGCTTCAGCCCTTTCTTGCCCCCTGCCCCCCCCCCCCCCCCCCCCCGGCTCATCTGCAACCTCCAAGGGGAGGCTGTTGATTTTCAGCCCTTGATTTTCAGGCCCAGGATGAGAGAGGCCCACTTCTCTCCCCCTTTGCCTTTCTGATCTCCTTCCTTCCTTCCGCAAAGTCCCCAGCTCCCCTGAAGAGCTGACCTCAGGCCTTCATCCTAATCACCGCTGTCTTCTCCCAGCAGGATCACTTCTCGTTCACTGAAGGTGGTGAAGCTTGGCTCACTTCTGCTCTTTCCATCCTGATTCCCATTGCCGTCTGTGGTGACTTGGACGTCCTCAGACAACTCTGACGACACCACAGCCTCTGGGTGCCTCCACTACCGCACCTCTGATGCTCCTTTCCTCCACACGCACACTCAGGTATTAGCTGACAACAGGTACATGATGGGCCCATTTAGAGAGGTTTCATGTATCTTTAAAACTGTGATACCTATAACCAGAGTGCCCATATAATTTATTTTCCAGATGGGGACAATTTTGTGAATGAAAGAGGACACTGAAATAATTAAGATTATATTACTTTTGGAAATATTTACTTATTGATGACAAATTGGCTTTTGTATTAAGGCCCCTTTTTGAATATAAAATAATCATATTCAAAAGCTATTTTCCAAAATAAATTTTCCTTCAATTAAAAAAATTATAAGTGTACATTGAAGAGACATTGAAAAAAACTCTTTTGTACTGATTCTCTGCATATTCAAAACCATAGGCAGAATAATTTTTCCTTGTACTTATTTAAGTTCTTTAATTAGTTTCTTAGCTGAATCTCTCACTAGTAGTGTGTGACCCTGGTATCTTTATAAATAATTTCTTTTCTGAAAATAGTTTTTGTATTTTGAAGGTTTTTGAACAAATTGCAAATTGCTATCGCTTTTAAAGTAAAACGTATGGTTAATGAATTTGAAATTGCTGACACCTTTAATGGATTCTTCTCTGTAGACGTCAATATTTTTAGTTGATAATAAATACACTCTCCAGGTACTGAGAAATTTGGCAAGCTTGGGGCAAATTCCACTAAATGGATGATATCTTCCAATCATTTATGCAGATATTTTGTCCCAAGTATTGACACAGGTGTTACCTTTTTGCCCCCATTCACAGCAACATCCTTTAGCACACACTTTTACAAAACATGATTTCTCAAGTAAGTCATCTTTATTAATGATTCTTTTGAACACTCCCCCAGCACACAGAGATTTCATATCCTAATAGATGAATCCTTGGCAGAAGCTGGAAGTAAAAAGTAGAGCTCAACTAAACCCCATCCCGGCTTATTTTAATGCAGCTATTAATGATAATATCTGGTTAACACATGACAGATGCGGCACAAGTGCTAAAGCTGGGTGGGACCCAGGAGAGCAGGCCTAAACAGGGGCTCTCCTATCACACCGACCCCTCCGAAGTAGCTCCGTGGACCTCCATCCGTGGTAGAACAGAGGTATTGCCAGGGGGCTCTTCAAACATGCCACTGTTCGGGCCACTGCCCCACAGACCCAGATCCCACAGCTATTGGAATGGGGCCCGCCAACCAGCATCGTAGTCTCCCAAGGGATTCTGGGCCAGATCACCTTGGTCCTCCACTGCTCCTAAAGCTACAGGATGCAGGTACACAGGGATTCAGATAATAGAGAAGAAGGAGGTGAATCAGGAGTGGCCGTGCTGCTGCCACATTTTCTCTGCACCCCGGTGGTTGTGTTGTTACCGTGGGCCAGGACTGAGTGCATAGCAGGTGCTCCGGAGAACAGGAAGAGCAGAGGGCGGTCCTGCCACACAGCCTGTGAACACTCTCCATGACACACTCAGAATGTCGTCCTTTAAAACATTTAATTAAGCAACTCCTGTATGGTCATCATAAAAATGAAATTTGTTGAGGGCTACAGAATCCTAATTAGGAATAAAAAAGGAAAAAGAAATTTCACAAAAACTCTACTTAAGCCTGTCATAAGTCCTGCACTCTATTCTGAACATTTATTTTGAAAACAGTCCTCAAAATGCACATCCCCAGAACCCTCAAAATGAGGTATCATTTTGCCTCATTCTATAAACCTACGATCATCTTTCTCACTCCAAGTTCTGAAGTCTGCAGAACCACACTGGCGAAGAATAGTAAGAGCACATGTGGGCGCCCAGCCGCACGCACCCTGCTGCCCCATAAAGCAGTGGGGGCTGTGCCAGAGCCAGTCAGGGGAGCGGCATGGGCTGGTGCTTTACCTGCTCGGAATTCAGTTCCGAGGCTGTGAGTTGAACTCTGTGCAAATGTTCTGGATGACCTTGGGGACAAATCTGTGCAGGTTGTCAAACTCATCTACAAAGAAGGAGTGGTCGCTGGCAGGGTGAGTGGCTATGACTTCCAGCTCGTCCTGGGCAGCCCATGCGACACCTATCGCGTAGGTGATCACTCCTGTGGGGACAAAGTTTAGATGAAACCAGTGTGCCTAAGAAGAGGTACTAAGAACGAACACTTGCCTTTCTGTTGCTCTGTTGGCTCTTGTGTTGGGATGCAAACAAATTCAAAATCAGAAATGTTCCCCAAAGCATAAACATCTGCTATACACCAACAGTAACAGAATTGATGTAGTTGCTATCTCATAGGAGTTTATAATCTTTGGGAGGAAGAAAACCCAGACAAAATGGAGCAAATAAATAAGATTTTCATGTCCACGGGCAGTAGAAGGGATGATATTTTGGGACAAGTGAAACTTGATGCCATGCCGATGACATCACAATGCACATGCCTGCTCTACCTGTGTGTAGAGCCAAACAAAATCTCAGAGAGTTTTATTTATTTACTTATTTTAAAAAAGATTTTATTTTTTAAAAAGGAATCTCCATACCCAATGTGGGGCTCCAACTCGCAACCCTGAAATCAAGAGTCTCATGCTCCCCTGACTGAGCCAGCCAGGCTCCCCTCAGTTTTATTTTATTTTATACATTTTTTAAAGATTGATTTATTTATTTTATGGGGAGGAGGGGCAGAGGGAGAGAGAAACTCTAAGCAGACTCCACCACGCTGAGCACAGAGTCCAATATGGGGCTCGATCTCATGACCTGGAGATCATCACCTGAGCTGAAACCGAGTTGGATGCTTAACCGACTGCACCACCCAGGCGCCCCTCCCCTCAGTTTTAAATGCATCAAAAGTCAGTTCAAGATCTTCCTAACCTAAAACAGTGGAGTCGAATTACTTTAGGCTTGAAGGTGACTTTACAAGCCATAAAATGCAATCTCATTCCCAGTGTAGAAACCCTTGCACAAGGACCCGGAGAGAGGGTGACCCAGCATCTGCTCCATCATTGACATGAAGAAAGGTTTTCAAGATAAGGGAGTGACCAGCAGTGCTGAATGCTGCAGGAGGTCACCTCACCAGAAGGTCACGTGAGATTAAAACAAAGTGCTCGCTGGATTTAGAAAAAACCAAGACATTGGTAGCTTGGTGAGAGCAGTTTCAGGGGCATAGATGCCAAAGGAAGCAAATGAACTGCTGTGCGTTGAGAGTGAAAAAAGCAATGAAGATGTGGATGCGCAGCACATAGAGCTAACCCTCTCCGGAAGTTTGGCTGTAAAGAGAAAGGGAAGGGGAGCAGAATGTGGTGTCAGAGAGAGTTTGTTTTTGTTCTTTCGGGAGGGATCCAGCACGTCTAGATGCAAATGGGAAAGAGTGCAGGGGGACCAAAGGTGCAGGACTGCAGTGGGGAGCAAGAGGCCCCAGGGAGGAGAGGAGACTCAGAGACTAGGCATCTATTCTCAGTGGGGAAGCTGGGAGACTGGTGGGTGGTTCTTGATTGGGGTTGGAGACGGCTGGCCAGCAGGCGCTTGACCTTACTCCACAAAAGCCTGTTCCCATGCCTGGCATGGAAGGCTGGCAGAGTGGGGTCAGCTACATGGCCATGAAACCGAGGGAAGAGCCGGGGTGTGGCCTTCCTGCCCAGCCACCCGTGGCAGCCCATGCCACCATGTCCAGCATCTCCCCAGTGCCCTGTTCTGCTGATCGGAGAGCAATCCACATCTCACATGGTTCTGGCCCTCAGCTGCTTTTCAACTGTGGCTCATTAAGCTGCATTTAAGCTGCCAGTCCCTTCTCTTGCCTCGCCAGTGCCTTTTCCCTGCAATTGTCTACATTGTTGTCTACGAACATGAGCATTGGGCTTAAACATGCTGCCCAGTGGCAGTGGGAACAGATTTGCTGCAGAACATGGCTTAGATGGACTAAGCCCTCATTTTTGCACAAAGATTGAAAGGCTGCCCCCCAATAAAGACAACACAAATGGTATTCGAAATTTAGCTTTTCAGATCCTCGAGTCCACCCTCGTGGGAACCTTCTACTAGCAATTCTGACAGATGGTCAGCCAGCCCTGCTGTGGACACTTCTAGGGACACAATGCTCATTGTCTCCATGTAATTTGCATCTATTGGTCCTAGTTCTTTAAAGCTTCCCAGGACATCTCCCTCAGTCTTCACTTCTCCTGATGAGGAGGCCAAGGATAGCCTTTGGGTGAGGCCAATGGAAGTCCACTTAGAAAAATAAGTAAGAGTGGGGCTGAACGTGAGCTGGAGACAGATGTTTGGACATAGCAGGACAGCCCTGGGCTTGTAGTCAAGAGCTGGCCCACCAGGCTCTGCCCACTCACTTTGGAACTTTTGAGTAGGTTCCTTCTGAGCCTTCAGCCATCTTCACTCTGCTGACATGAGCCCAAGGGATGCTGTGACTGCTGGCACGCAGGCCATCCCCCATCTTGCCGTTGTGAGTCTGCCCCACAGGCTCTACAAGGGTAAGTCACTGCTTGAACCTGCTGTCTGCTTACTCTGGTTTCCAGAAAGCAGAACTGCTGGTCCATTAAGGCTTGTTTGTTTTTACCCCTCCTTGTTTAGGGAAGGATTCAAAGCAGCTTTAAAGAATACTGAAAATCCTGCAAACTAACAGAAATTAAATGCAGGCACAGAAGGAAGCAACCCTGGCCCCAAGTGAGTCTTGTACACTAACACTTATCTGTGGGTCTTGGGTGTTCACTGACAACTTGGTTTACTTTTATTATTGTTACTATTATTATTATCACTTAGGGGTTTTCTTCAGGTTGTTTGTATTTTCATGGTATTTTATGGTACTTTTGAAAATGGTGATTAAACATTGATTCTGTGGAAAAAGGCGTCAAATGTGACTGATTTTCTAAGCATTTACAAAAACATTTTTGCTCATTTTTCATGGTTTTAAACTTTCTGTTGCTCTCTTACAAATTTTTACTTGGAAATATCTCTTTAAATACTTTGGATGAAAATTTCTTTGAGGTCTCCTCAAAACCCCCAACATCTGGCTAGCAGTTGCTTACAAAAAATAGTACTTTTCTTTTAAAACACTAGTTTTCTTCAAATTTCTAACACAATTTGGTGGTCTTCGGTAGAGATTACAATAATGAGTCAAATTCCTTTTTAGTGTGTTACACCTTCGTGTGTAAGGCCTCAGAGCGCCGGACGTGAAGGAGAGGGTTGATGTTCCCAGTCATCTGTAGGCCTGGGGTTTGCCACGACACTTTGGAAACCACCTTGGGGCTCCCTGCCTTTCTCCTTTGCTGCTCAGCAAGGCTGGTTGTGTTTAACAACACCCCTAATGTGTTCCCTGTGGTTTTGAGCATTTTATTACATGGTAGACAAAACCAGTGCCTAAAAAGACAGCCCCTTCCTTGTCCCACTGGCCCACCAGGCCCCAGAGGTGCTCAGCAAGACCAACTTACCCTTGTGATGGGCAACCATGGCCGGTATTCGGACGTCATCGTAGGACCTCCCATCAGTGATGAGGATCATTAACTTCCTCTTGTTGGGCTTGGACTTCTTGAAGAGCTGTTCCAGGGCATAGTTTATGGCAGCCCCGGTGCTGGTCCCACCGCTCCAGTAGCCCACCCTATTGATGGCATTCAGGATGTCGGACTTGGTGGTGTAATCGTCAAACCCGAATTCCAGACGCTGCTCGTAGGTGTACTGCACCGCCCCGATCCGCGTGTCTGTTTCTGAAATCTCAAACGCTTTGCTGATGTTGGCCACAAACTGGAGAACTGTGCGGAAGTTGCCCGTCCCCACGCTGCTGGAGCCGTCGATGACAAAGCCGATGTCGGCTGAGTTCCAGCAGGTCTTGCTGCAGGCCAGGCGGTCAGTGTCACAGACCCGCTTCAGCAGGGGCTGCACGGTCTTGTGGAGGCTGAACCAGCTCTGCACACTGAGCGAGTAGAAGCCGTTCGTTCTGCACACCGCCTGCAAGACAGAGGGGAGGGGTACTCGCCAGCTCGGGTGTCGAGTTCTCCAGGCGGTCACTGTGATCTCGACCACCAGGGCAGGCGAAGAAAGAAGCAGACATACTCTTGTTTTCTGCACTCTTCTTCCTACAGCTCTTTCTCTACCTCAGTCCACCCAGTCAGATGCCCACTGGGGTCACCCCTGGACTCACTCCTACTCCCTTGGCTGGGTCTCCGCTTTAGGGGAGAGCCATCAGTGAGGCAAATCCTTCAAGAGAGAGGTGAATCACTGGTTTCAGCGTCATATTTATGCCTCTCTGGGCCCCTTGGTCCATTTGTATGGGCAGCTGTCCATGAGATTGGCACCGGTGGGCACCAGCATCTGAGAGGATTAAAGAAAGCTTTTGTTCTGATCGGGAAAACAAGACACAGGAGAAAGAGCTACAGGAGTGTTTCCGGAGCGGCCCTGTGCCCAGCAACAAGGAGTCCCACACACACGTCAGGAATCGCACTAGATGTTCTTGAGACATTCTCTCATAAACCCCCATCCTAACCCTACAAGGTAGATCTCACCCCCCTTCATGAAGGAACAAACGGAGGGCCAGCTGTGAAGGGACATCCTTGAGTCCCCGAGACTGGAACACAAATCTCTCTGCCTTCAAAACCCCAGCTCTGTCCTCCAGACAACCCTGCCTCCAGACAAATGAATATTTATTGACTTGTGCCCAAGTTTGTTCCAGAAAAAATGTAACGCAGCTGCAAATAAACATGGATCAACCTGGCCCGTGTGCTCCTGGAAGGGACCAGGGTTGCGTTCCTAAAGTAAAGCATTTTCTCCTTGCCGCTGTCTCTCTGGGGGTCACAAGGACAGTCACAGACCTGGTGACGATACATGAAGTTGTAGAACTGACAATTTATTTTAAAACAAGAAATGACTTTAAAATGTCCTAGGAAATATTTTTAATGGGTTGCAAAAACCTAAAAGGGGTTTATAAATCTTTCCATAGCCTAGGTGGTATTGGAGATGAGTGTCCCGGCTGAGCTGAGTTCTAGCCAATGGACAGAGTGGGGGGAGTCCCACCAGGCACTGGCTGAGGTCATGGAGGGAGAAGGCGGTGGTGCTGGGCATGGGCAGGAGACACTGGGCGTGTCAGGACCACACTCCAGAGGGCCTCAAGAGTAATGGGGGACAATGAAGGGTTTGGGGCAGGGGCCCCATAAAACTGGAAGAACTCATCATCAACATGAGTGGGCTTCACTGTGAAATGTACAACAAACTGGGGAGCCCAGACAGGGAGACAGACCAGAGGTAGAGTGCTAGCTTGCCCTAGGGAGGTGGCACTGGGAGTTGATGAGGTGTCTTGGGATGACTCTGGGCCTCTGGCACAGCTGTGGGGCCCTTCATGTGAAGTCTAGAGGAGGAACGAATTTGGTGGGAAAGATGGTACACTTAGGTTTTTACATGTCAGATTTAAGGTTCTTCAGCACATCGGGTGGAGAAAAGCCAGTCAGCTGGAGCACATGGCTACAGAGCTCGGGCGAGACCAGGGACGGGGAGAGGATGAGGGTGTCTGCTGCTGATGAGGGAAGGTGGGAGGTGTGGCATGGGGGGACCTCCAGGGAGAAAAAGCCGTGAGAGCGGAGGGGAGGGCCAAGAACTGAGTCCGGGCAAGTCTACATTTAGGGTACAAGACAGGAAAGAGGAGAGAGCAAATGAAATAAGAGCCACATTGGGTCCTGGAAGTCAAGGGGGATGAGAATTTCAAGGATGATTGAGTGGTCAGCAGCTTGGTAGGGTGCCGGAGGTTGAGCCCTATCAGATCTGGAAACACAGACTACTAAAGCTGGAAAGGCATCAAAGCCAAGTCAGGACAAGGCATTCCCTTTCTTCTCTTCCTCCCTCCCTCCCTTTCTTTTCCAAGCGGGGGCCTTTTCTTGGGAGGCAGGTTTATGTGGAGCCCCACTGTGTAACACATACAAAAGGTGAGCTGCTCTTCTGCAGTGGGTGCAGAGGCCTGGGTCCCCATCTGTCCTACCCCCATCTGCTGCTAGCTCTCTCTACAGAACCCAGGAGGAGGGTTTGAAAACCTGATCTCCCTGACCTGAGCCATTGCCTTCCTTTTCTTGTTTATCGGGTTATTTAATTTGCAGTGTGTGTGTGTGTGTGTGCACATGTGGGTAAGTAAGTATATGCTTGCCTGTGTGCGTGCTCATGAGAAGCCCTGCTGGGCTGCCTGGTGGAGGTGCCCTGGGGAGAACCTCTATCTGAGACCTCAGGGACACCGCTTCTCCTGAGGTGCTGTTGCTGGCCTCAGTTCACCAGGGCAGTGGGGGGTCTTGCTCTGAGAGGGCAATTCCAGCTCCTCACTTAGTAGGCCCTCACTGGAGGTTTCCCTGCCTAGACGTAAGCTCAATACCCGTTTGAAGGCCCGAGAACAGTCTCGATGGCTGTTACAGCTATGCGAAGTGCAGCAGATGCTGGGTTGGGCAGGTCCCTGGGGCGGTTCCGTACCTTATTCGAGAAGTTGGGCTCCGTCACGTACTGCTTCTCATTCTCAGTGGCACCTTCGACGGTGATGAAGAAAATGTTGATTCCTGACTCTCTTGCGAACCTCGAAGCCTCCTCCACCTTGTCTGTGGGCCAGCCGTCCACAATCACCACGGCCACGTTGGGAGCACCACCTCTGTTCCCATTAGCTTTGGAAAAGAAGTTCTTGGTCGTGTAGGAGATGGCCCGACCTGGAAGAAACCGAGAACTTGTGCTTGGAGCGACTGTGATTACACGGCTTGGAAATAGAGGCAAGATCCCAGCGGCTTCCAGAGAGCCGGAGAAACCCTCTCATGCCCTCCCTTTGAGTGTTTGTTTCTCTTTTTTACTTTTTTAAAAACCACATGAACTATTTTGAGGTGTATAGGTCAGTGGTCTTACGCACATTCACATTGGTGTACAACCATCACCACCAACCATTTCCCTCCCCCATTTCACTTTAGGCCTTTCACTTCTAATTCTCTATTATTAAAAAAAAAAAGAAAAAAAAGAGTCTTAGGGACCAGCAAACAGATGAGAAAGGCTTCCATGGGAATAAGAGAGTCCCTTCTTTGCCTGGGTGCTGGAAGTGCACAAAGCTCTTTCTGGGAGCACGGGGTAGGAGGGGCTGGCCTGGAGGGGAGCCTCTCCTTGACCTCCTGCAGCTGGGGCTTGGACCGCTTGGGGCTCCAGGGGCTGTGTGGTGTGGACAGCTGTATTCCAGGTGCAGTGGCATCTTCTGTCCAGTTCCATGGGAGGGGCACGGGTCCGGCTGGCCAGGGAAGCACGGTACTCACTGAGAACTGAGGGACTGCGTTCCAGCCCTGGCTGTGAGGACCCAGGCAGGCCACTCCAGATTTCCATTTCAGCAGAAAGCCACGGCTGGGAGGTGTAACAGAGCCACCAACATAGCTTTCCAAAGCACTTGTTTCACACTGTCTAGGACCTCAGGAGTTTCTCAGTGAAGGAGGGGGACCGACTGTCCCAGTTTACTGGGCCCCTCCCAGTGTAAGTGCTGAAACCCCATATGCTCCTGGGTAAATTGGGATGACCAGGTCACTGTAGAGTTAGCGTAATTGCATATAAGAAGATAGGGCTCTTACCCCGGGCTCTATGGACCCCTGTGGGGCATGGGAGGGATGGTATACCCACAAATCCCCTGAAATTATACACAATATTTTGTGTATATAAGTATTTATTTAGGTAGAAGAGTAGCTTTCAGGAGATTCTCAAAGCAGTCCTCAATCTAAATAAAATCAATCTGAAGTCTTAAGACTTTAGGACTAATGTCATTATACTCAATGCTTTTTGGTTTTGGCCAGGGTCCTGGCTCCACTACCTAGTGTAATCTTACCTGGTAAATGACAGGATCAAATAGTTACATATGTAAGAGCTGGAGAAATGGCTTGGAGACCCCATGTGATCGGGCTGCACAGAGCACAGCTGCTAAGGGGAAACAGGCGCTGAGAAGAGAACCGCCTTCACAGCCAAGGGATAATGTCCCTGAAGGCCCAAGGCATCCAGCAGGCCCCTCTGGCTGAATGTTGGATGCCTGTAAACAGAGCACACCCCTGGCCTCACCCAATCTTAAATCTGGAGGTCACGGTCCATTAGTGCTCAACCCCAGATCCCATCCACCTTCCAGCATGTCTTGAAAGCTGAGGCCAGAAATCCGAAAATCACATTGTTGGGACTCCCTTGCAGCTACAGCCCTGGATTTGTGCTAATTTCATGAATCAATGCACACACATGAGATTTAGAAGAGGGAAGCAAGGCAGAGACCGTATGTACTTTTGACTCTGCTATTTCTGCTGCTGAGCATCTGTAGGGTACTTGACTTCTCTGGGTGGTGCTAGAGGAACCTATGTCTGGTCTCTAGCTTTGTTGCTGTTGGGGTGGGAGGGTGCAGAACATGCATTTTGTGGGTGTGAATGGAAAAGGCAAGGCCTGGTTTGGGGGCTGACGGCTGTAGCAGAAGCCCTCTGATTGTGGGGCCTTCCTGGCTGAGTCAGATTCCCAAAGAGGCTGTGCTGGCAGAATTGAGAATGCAATTTCCTGATCTTGGAAGAGACAGCAGCTCCTTGGAGGTCCAGGTTCTGCAGGAAGCCGTCAGAAGTCACCTCAAAGTTCAGCCTCGAGCTCATTCTTCAGCCCTTTTGATTATTCTCAAAACCATTTAGTACCTAGGAATAAATCCCTCTCTGCTTCAACCACTGAAATGGATCCTGTTCTCTGAACCCAAACCCTGATCAGTACAGGGCAGAAACAGAATATGCTATCCCCTAAAAAAGGTATATGATTTTATTAAGACACCACTCTAATCCCATCAAGGATATAGGGTATCTTCTGAAGTTTCAGTCTTATTCCATGATACATTACTGGAATGTCATTGATCTAAGTATTCAATCAAAAACAAATCAGAAATCAACTCTATCATGTTTAAAATGAGGTGATATTGATTTGGGGTCCTGGATAGCAGTGACTTGGCCAATGTTTGGTTAGCATTTTTCAAAGGCTCTTCATTTTCAAGATACTACTATACTGGTCTACAGAGATGTACACTGTATCATATTTACAGTAACTTCAAAGAGGTTTCTTCAAAGACAGGTCTGTGTGCACTCCACGCCAAGCCACCGCAGCTCACTTCTCCATTTCTTTGGATGTTGATGATATAAAGAGGTTTCCTGAGAGGTAGACAACCCTCCCAATGCCCCCAAAGCCAGACCACCATTTATGAATTGGTACGTTGGCATAGGCTCACTGGCAGCCTTTGAGCTTGGTTTGTGTGAAACTGTTTCCCAGTGGCTGGTTAGCTCCTGGTGAACTGATAAAATGGTTTCTGGACCTGCCCCATGCCAGCTAGACTTGGACTTCTGGTGAACCCGCCACCCCACCTCCTAGCCACCAAGACTCGGACATCTCAGGAGACTCAGCTTGAAACAAAGAAGCTATCTCTCTCTGTACAGTTGTCACTATAACAGGAGCTCACTGGAAGAAGATCTCCAAGGGACGCTGTGGAGCTTTCTGAATGGAATTGGTTATAACATTTAATGTTACATAGTTGATGACTTGTCAGCCAACCAGGAAACAGTTATAAGAGCAGTCCTGCTTGTCCCAAAGAAAGCTGCCAACCCGAGGAACCAGGCATGCATGTGATAATGATTCTTGCCCCTAAATTCGATGATATTTTAGAAAAAATACAAATATTATGTGAGTCATTTCTTGATGGATTATTATTATTTTTTCACACAGAGGGAGAACCATGGAAGCAAAATAGAATGATGTGAATTCGGATCGCATACCTGCATTAGAAAGTCCTCCTCTCTGGGTGATTTTCTCTATGGCCGTCTTCAGATCCTGGGAATTCATGTGAGTCCTGAGGTTAAATTGAGCAGCAGGGTTGTCTCTGAAGAGTGAGAATTGGAGAAATAAAAATTAGCTGGGAAGTTACTATCTTTGGAGGAAAGCAGAAATCAGAGTCGATTCTTTTATATACAAATAGAATGGAAGCTGCTTCAAAGCCTTAAGCTGCATTTTATAAAATGCCCCACTGTGGACAGAAGTAATGGTCAGATGGGAGGGCTGGGGTCCTCCTCAGTGTGTGTAGAGAAAAGTGGTCTGTTCCAGGCCTCAGAGTTCTAGTTTTGATTGTGCTGCTTCCTTGCCATGTGACCTTGGGAAGTCACTTAACTTCTCTGGGCTTCAGTTTCCTCATCTAGGTAAAAGCAAAGATCACAGCATTCACACTGCTAAAAAACAGGACGAACTGTCAAGTGGGATTTTGCAAATGTCACAGTGTCCCCAGGTTGCCCCAGACCCTCCTCTCCAGGGAGAAAATTCTAGCCGATAGCCACTCCCTGGGTTACCCCTACACTGGAATTGCATCTTAACTGTGGTGTCTAGGAGAAGACATCCCTTCATTTTCTCATTTTATGGTTCCGGTGACTGGGTGAGAATATTCACATCTTACCCAAAAGGTTAACATCTATTAACCAAAAGGTCAGCTGGAGAGGAGGTGGAGTAAATTAAGTAGAAAAACAGAATGAGAATCCTTTTCTACAGAGGAGTCTCTGCAGGTAAGCTGGGCAGATAGGCACGGGAGCAGCTGAGCAGAGGGTGTGGATGCATATTATTACCAGGTGGTAAGGGGGCCGGGAGGGAGGGGGGCTTTGTCGGGTGTGTGTGTGCTCTCATACCCATGATGAAGTGGGGATGCACAGTAAAAGCACATCTCACAAAGCACTGACACTTAGCCATTGGCAAGGCTTCAAGCGAGTGTGATCTCTAAGGTCCCACACGACCCCGCACTCCAGAAGAGCCAGCACTTGGTTCCATGCTCTGATGCTGCCATCTTGAAATCCTTAATGTTTGAAGCTAGGGCTCTGCAAATTATGTAGCAGGTCATACCTGCAGGTTACTAAGCCTTTGAGGGGAGGGAAAAGACTTCTTTAAAAAAGTAGACTCCACGCCCAGTGTGGAGCCCGAAGTGAGGCTTGAACTCACGACCCTGAGATCAAGACCTGAGCTGAGATTAAGAGTCGGCTGCTTCACTGACTGAGCCATCCAGGTGCCCCCCCCAACTTTTTTTTTTTTTTTTTTTTTGAGGGCAAAGACTTTTAAAAGCAGCCTTTCCACAAACACCGGGAATAGGTCTTGGGAGAAGCAGCTTTAGGCGGTTTATGTGGGAATTCCAAGGGGACTTATAGTGGATTCTTAGCAAGTCCTTGGGGGGACCTGGCAGGGTGGTCACCAGGAAGCCAGTTCCCTAGGACTGACAGGAGACATCCTCTGCCTCTCTCCCCGCTTCCCTCCCCTGCTCCATCCCTATTTTCCAACTTTTCTAACCATCTCCAGGTGATCAATCTCTGTCGGAGGAGAACTCCTGGAGGCTGGAAGTGTGACCCTCTGTTCTCCCCTTTATTAGTAAATATGACGGACACGGGCTGGTTCTTAGACAAAACCGAAGTGAAATGCCCAGCAGGCATGCTTATCTCTGTGAGAGGGGACGGGAAACTAGGAGGACCAGCTCCCTTTGGGGAAGACAAGGGAAGATTAAAAGAAGCTCAGGGAGAAGGGCATTGGGGCCAAACCCAGCCAGATGAAATGCCACCAGATGAAAGCCAAGGATTCAACAGAAACAAACAACAATAATGACAAAGCCAACTGCAGAATGAGCAAATGTGGGCATGTTAGCCAAGTCCGACCTTCCTCTCAACCTGTGTGCGGGGTGAAGCCTCTTGAACTGGGGCCACAGTAACACAACCCCTGTGCAGGTCACACAGAGGAATCACACAGAGAAGGAGCTCTATCGCTCAAAGGCTTTCGGGTTTATATTCTTTACAGATCAATATCAGCGAATGCTGAACTTGCCCCCTAGCCATCAAGACTCAAAATGTGGGCTCCATCTTTACTTGCTCATCCTAGGGCCTGTGAGTCCTGTCAGTAACATCCTGTAAGTCCCTCCATCCAAGATCACTTGCTTTTATCCCTCCTCCATATGCCTGCAGCGACCCTCTGAGTTCAGGCACCCTACTTCTTGCTGTTTCTATTGTTTAAGAGTCTCTACTTGGTCTCTGGAGAGCCAACTGTATGCATATCTGCTTAAAAAAACTCCTCCTCTACTCAAAAATCATCAGAGGCTCCCACTGTTAAACTTCATATTTTGGCTTTCAAAAGTCTATCCATAATTTAATTCTAACCCATTATGTTCATATGGTGCTCTCTGTCTCCATCTTGGTCTCTCCCTCTCTCTCTCTCAGGATAGCCTATATTCTAGGCAGAATGCACGGCTCACTATTTCCTGGTTTTCTAGCTAGCTTTGTGTCCTTGCTCATCAATCCCCTCATCTGGAAAACCCAAATGTGCCCACCCTCCAGCTCCAGCTCCCTGTCACCTCCCTCCTGCCCAGCTTACAGCCTCTGCACCTGATGCTGACTCTCTAACCCACAACACCTTACACAATCCATAGCACCTGTAGGCTCTCAGTGAACAGTATTGAGAAACACACATTTCTTCTTTCCTCTTCTGTGCATCTCTACATCTAAATTCTGGCATTGCCCAGGGCGTATCTCCCTCTTGCCTCCCTCTTCAATCTATGCACTTCCATGGGAGAGCTCATCAATTTCAGTCTCCTGGACTTCAGAGACCATTCACATGCCAAAAGCTGTCCAGTGCACACTGGCTGGTCCTCTCTCTTGAACCCCAGATAGCCATAAAATGACTCCCATCCATCTCCATCCGGAATGCACTGGGTGGTGCGTGGAGGTGGTCCACAACCATCTCAGGTTTGATATTTCCAATACTGAACTCATATATCTTCCAAATCTGCTCCATACAACCACCCATATTCCCTTCTGTATTCCCTCTTCTCACTCACTGTCATCCCAGCAGAATGCATTGTGGACACCTTCTGAGGCTTTCTTCATCAAATGCCACGTCCTGTCAGACCAACCTCTTAAATATCTCTTGTCTCTCTCGCATCCTTCCCATCCTCATGTTTGGAATTTGATCTTTACTTTCTTGAACTATTGCTATAGCTACCTACCTGGTCTTCCCAGAGCAGCCTCTGCAGGGGACCTTTTATTCAATAGGCTGTCATGCTGGTCAGAGGCAAATTAACCTGGGAGCTAATAATACCTCTTCCAAGGGGCCTAATTTTGTATTTGTAATTTTGTGCTCTTTTTCTTAAAAGGACCCTCGAACTGCATAAGCTTCAGAGTTCCCAAAGTCTTGTTCTTCCCTTGGTGACCAAAGAATATGAGCTTTCTCAGGGCCTAAAAAATAAAATATGAGTCGAGGGCGCCTGGGTGGCTCAGTTGGTTAAGCGACTGCCTTCGGCTCGGGTCATGATCCTGGAGTCCCGGGATCGAGTCCCACAT